GTTAAGAGACACAACTGAATCCTTTCTCAGAGGAGTCAGACAGCCCACATATATCACCAATTGCCTTTCTGGCTGCACTGTGAGATCAGACTCGTAAATTTTGTGACATGTGGAAAATATCAGAAAACCACAGCCTGCATTTTTAAGAAAAAGCAGGACTCACACTGTCGTGAAATATCATTGGTAATTTCACCCTTTCTTTGCATCACCCTCCCAGAGAGGGCCAGCCGGGTATTCAGCCTGTGGCTGGGAATCTGAGGAGTGACTCAGCTGTTTGGGACAATCTGCCACCTTCTCTGCCCAAAGGGGTCCAGCGGGGCTGTGGGTCCCCGTGCAGTAGGGCAGGGAAGATGTCCTTTTTGAGGACCCTGAACCCTGGCACAAACAACTCCTCCTACCTGCATCCATCTCAGTGACTTTCCCATTCTGTTCCCACACACTTTTTGTCTACCCCTCTCTCAGCACTTGTTTCACTGTATGTAACTGACACTTCCGTCTTCACTATGGGGCATGGCGCTTATGAAAGCCAACTAGGGCCTAAGGTGCGGCCTTATTTCCTTAGTGCGCCCTGAACATGGCAGGTGGTGAGCGATGAATGGATGAATGTGCCACCTGCAGGGGAGCCTGGGGAGAGAGCAGGGATTAGTCTTCACTCCTGGCTTCTCTTCTTCACACCAGTTTCATGACCTCAGCTTTCTATGTCCCAGTTTCCTTGTCTATAAAATGGGAATGATAACGGCGCCTCTCTCATAAGATGCTGGGACTATGGAATGGCTTGTACATGTAGTATACTTACTAGTAAAATGATAACTTGCAATCAAGAAATCTTAGCTAACAAAGTGAGCTCTCAAACAATGTGAGAGCTCCTTATCAGTCGGAACGATGTCCCAACTCCACGGGACGCCTGTAGTAGCCCAGGTCTCTCCTCCACGTGAGTACGTGAGGGTGACTGGATTTGCTTGGAGGGTGACTTGCTGGGGGGTCTCAGGAATTCTGGTGAAGAGAGTTGGGGACTTTTTTTTTCTTCTTCTTCTGGAAATGGGCATTCCTTAGCTGTTTGAATGACAGGATAGTAGGACTTCCTGTCTGCTTGATGACAAGCCCACCTTCACACTTCTCTCCAATGCCATCTCTAGGGCTCCTTGAATGACCCTGGAGAGGATGGCCGGTAAAGTCTGGGCCTGGCCTTGGCTGGCACTTGAGGCTCTAATGTCCCTGAAAGTCCACGGACTCCAGAAGGACTGAAGGGAAGGGGAATGACAACCCTGAACTCACAGGCAGAAACTACCAAACCTCAAACATTTCTAGGCAAAAGGAAGATGGGAAAATGGGGGTGTTTGGAGGAAAGGGAGTGGACATGGGTTGGGGTGGATAGAGGTGAAAAGTTGCCCTAGACAGGAAGGCAGGTGTCTCCACCCTCAGACCTGTCTGGCCCCTGAGCAGGGCCTGTGAACTGGGGAGCAACAGATCTGGGTGTCATCTTGGGGAGACAGGAAGTGGGGAATAAGGATAAGTCACCCTAGAGATGTTTGCTCAGGAGACTCACCCACAAGGAAGAGACCCTCGGTCACAAGGGAAGACTTCTGTGATGTTGGCCCTGCGTCCACAGACCGGGGGCCCAGGAGCAGGTCCCAACTCTCTGCCTACTTGTGTGGGGCCTGTGAGTGGCCACTTAGTCTTGCTGAGCCCCACCCTCTCCTCCTGTAAGATGGAATAATGTACCTCCCTCACAGAGCCATTGTCAGTCCCTAATGAAATAAGATTTATGATGTGTTCTGAGGGTTATATTCCTAGCAGGCATCCTATATAATAAAAGCCTAATAAGAAAAGTGTTCCCCAGTCATCTGTTCGACCTATCAAATCGTAATATGCTAATGCTATGCTAAGGCCGTTCAACTGTTTGCTATGATGTGCACTGACCACAAGGAGGCAGACACTCTAACTGGTAGGTTAGCTTGCTGCGGGGCTCTGCTGGGCTCCGGCAGATTGGAACTGAGCAAGATGGGCCATGCACACCCTGGAGCCCTTCCATGGTCCCTTCCCAGCTGGCCAACCTCCTGTGTCCCTCCCTGGCCCCTGATCATGCATCAGTGGGGTCCCTCAGCCTGGCCTGTGCCATCTCACAATCCAGGACCCCTCAGGGGATGTCGGAGAACCGGTTTCAGCCTGAATTCACAGGCTGGACCGAGGGACCTCTAGTTTATTTACAATGACCAGTATTTAGGATGGCTTGGAAATGCCTGGGTGGATAGAACTGAGCCAGGTTTGATCTTTGGAGGTCAATAGCCACGGTAGCAATGGAGGCAGGTTTCCACCAGCTTCGATGTCCTTTTCCAAACTGGCCCCTCTCCCTCCTCCTTCTTCCACAGCCTGGACAAGACTGGCAATGTAGAGCAGTGGTTGAGGGTATGGGGACCAGACTGTCTGCATTGGAACCTTGTCTCTGTCATTGAACAGCTTCATGGCCTTAGGCAAATAATTAACCTTTTTATACCTCAGTTTCCTTGTTAATAGATTAGGGGATGATACTCTTTTCTACTTCATAAGGTACTGCATACATTGAATGGTTTATTTCATGTATTATATATAAAATGATAGCTAACAAAGTGAGCACTCAAAAATCTGAGCCATCTCCTTATCAGTCATGGTGATGTTATTCTAAATGGCCCAACTCCATTCACTTCCCTCATTCAGACACACTGGGACCTTTCCACCCAGGCAGGCCAGCCAGTAAGCTGGAAGAAAACACATTAGAAACCTCCTAAAAAAAATAAATAAAATAAAAATAAAAAAAAAGAACATTTCTTTCCACTCAGATACACTTAGAACCCAAACTGGGGCTGTCCCCTTACCACCCAATCTGACTTCCTATAGAGGGAAGTGCAGATCCCACGTCATCTCAGGCTAGTGGAACCAGCTCTCTTCTCCTCCAGTGAACAGTCATACATGTGAAGACTGGAAGGGATCCCAGAAGATCTCTCAGGCTAGTACGGTGGCTGGGGTTCCTGGGGAGAAAAATAGTTGATGGAGAAAGTTCTGCTTTGTAGGGGGGGAACCACTATCTTCCTCCCAGGGCCAAATGCAGAGCAGAAAATGGACCCCCTGTGCTGCTGAGGGATGGATAGTACATTCCAACAGTCCCATCAGCACCCATTGACATCTACCGCAGTCCTACGCCAGCGAGAATCTCACCGTGTAGTAGAGGGAGGCACGTGGTGAGCAGATGATTGCAACAGGAAGTGGTCACTCCGTGTTGTGGTTACTCATGGGGTGCTGTGGACTCCAAGGGCAAGAGCACCAGGATGGCCCGGGTACCTGCGGAAGGAGCTTGGAAGAGCTGGTGATGCCTGAGGTAAGGCTGGAAGGAGAAAAAGGAGTAAACCCAAGAAGAGAAGTGGAAAGTCCATCCCATCAGAGGGAAGAGAATGAACATGCAGAGGCTCTGGTGCCAGACACAGGGCACACAGACCAGGCTGGAGAGGCTGGGGCTGCGGATGCGGGGCCTCCTGTGCCACAGGAAGAACTGGGACTTAGAGAATCCGTAGGATTCTCAGCAGAGGAACTGAGCAACCAGATGTGCCATCTGGAGGAGGCCTTCAGGGCCTGGCTGGGTGGAGGACAGAGTGCTGTGGGCAGGCCTGGAGGAGGTTGTCCTGTTAACCCCCTTGAGGGTGTCTAATGTTTTTCCTCCGCTTCTTGGCAAACCACCCCAGAGACCTAGGGCACCAGTGTCACAAAGACGTCCCACACATGGCCAACAAACCCCTCCATGTTAACGGGTCTTAACCACCCAGGTATTCCCCACACCCAAAAACAGCCCATGTCCTGCAGGAGAAATCCCACTCCTCTCCTGAAGATGGAGCTTAGGCTGCAGAGAATGAATGTAATTCTCTCCCCCTGGTCACAGTGTTTGCCTAAAGAATGGGCAAGCCATTCCACTCAGGCTGCTGACACCCAGGGCAGCATTTCCAGAGGCGGAGTGTGCAGATGTGAGGCTGGGACACGAGGGAACATAGCCTCAGACAAAGCTGGCCATGGACAGTAGAAAGCTTCAGGGCTCTGATGATGGGGTGAAACCAGATCACACCAGACCTGAAGTACACACTCCTCTCCCCAGAACGAACTTCTGGAGTTTTCAGTAATACAAGCCAATAACTTCCCTTTGTTTATAAACTTTTTTTGTCTTGATCTCAGAAGCTCAGAGCTCTGGGGTTATAATAATCTGGGGCACAGTGGCCAGAACTGACAAGTTCTGAACATGTAAAAAAAAATAAAATAAAATAAAAAATCACAAGGAGGCTTTCCTGACACCATTTTAGAAAACTTAAAAGTTGCTTTAAAGTAAAAACCATTTTGTAAAGCCTTCTGCGAGATGGGACTTGCCTCTCACATCCAACGTCAGCTCTGGGTCCCACTAACACAGTGGTGGGCTGCCACCTGCTGGTCACAAGGCAGAATGTGATCCTGGAGAGTAAATTGTTAAGAATGGAAAAGGCCTTCAAGATTCATATGGGAAATAGAAAGTGGAAATTCATTCTGTGCTAATATGTACTTGTGATCTGTTTGAATCTGGGTTGGTATGTGTTATTTTTATAATAAGAAAAAAATACAAATATTTACTTTGGGAAATATTTACTAACCTTTGCTGTTTTCACCAACACCTGCTGTTTCCTTGAAAAACAACAAATGACTACTCTCTTCCTTCCTTCACTCTCTCTAAAAATCAATGGGAAATATATATATCCTCACATGAGGATTAACAACACAAAACAAACAAACAAAAAACCCTTCTTGTTTTCTCTTTTCCTGAACATCTGGAAACACACACTAACGCCAGCTTGTCCCTACTAATTGCACAAAGCAGCATCCACTTCATTATTCCTGCTTCCAGGGCAGGCAGCCAGCCCGTTTCCCGCCTGTTAGATCCTCCAGGCAGAAGTCAGGCCCCAGTGCAGTGTTCAGGAAGCACTTACCTAGCTCTCCGAGTATTCTGCGTAGAGTCTCTCTCTAGGTTTGAAGCACAGAGTAGCCAGGGACCCTTCCACCAACTCTGGGAGAGAAGGGCTCATTTTAAAAGCTCTATCTGCAAATCCCCTTTCCTTCTCTAGTGGTTAAGGAATTTAAGAGTCGTCCTTGATACCACTTTGAAATCTCTGCACAGTGGCTCCTTTGGAATGTATCATCTATTATACTCACGTCTCAACCAAAACTGAGACAGCAAGAACCCCATCATAAACGCTGTTATAGATGCCCTCCTGGCCTCCATTAGAGGTGGAGACGGCCTGGAGACTAGCATCATCCCTTTGGTAGGTGGCACCTTAATCAGCCCTGAGATCCAGCTTGGTTCCCGTGACCTCCGCCATCACATTCCCCGAAAACCCTCCCTCCCCTACAGCTCCCCTTCAGCCTGCCAAGGCTTTGGCTTCAATTCTCCAGTGAGTCCTGAGACTCACAGAGGCCTTGAAACTGTCCAACTCCTATAGACCACACTCCTCCTCAGAGATCTTTTCCTGTTACGCCCCCCACTCCCATACCTCCCACCCCACCCCCCACCCCCGCTGCTGTAGCTGACTTGGCATCTCCCTCATGGGGTTCCACAGCTATCTTCTGCTCTGCATCAAAGCACCTGATGTGACCACACCCTCTACCAAGTTCCCGTTTTCCTGGTTCATTAGGACACAGCACCCGGGACGGCCAACTAATTTCATAGGAGTTCACCCTGTGGGCCAGCTAGCGTTTCCTGGCCTTTTCCTAGCTGGTCCTGGAGGCAGTGTGGGGCTGCTCCTAGATCCCCAATACATGTGCATTTGTCACCTGGAGCCTGCAAGCTCCAATATGATCTGGGCCCACTCCAGCCCCAAGCCTTACCCTCCTTCTCCAGCCTTTCCCCTCCGAGTGCACTGACTTTCCTCCTGTCGTCACACAGATGGGCTCAAAGCTGTGGGAAACCAAGCTCACACCCGCCTCGGGGCCTTTGCTGTTCCCTCTGCCTTCTGCCCTCCAGCTCGTGCCCAACCCCATCTTTCCATTTAGGTGGCAGCTGGAAAGTCACATCCCCAGAGGAGCCTCCCCAGACTATTCCGTCTACACTGTCAAACCGCTATCACACTCTGTGCTCCTGCCCCATTTTCTCCAAATACTTTCTGAAATTGTCTCGCGTGCCTTTGATTTGTTTGTGTATTATCTAGACAGATAAACTGCACCTAGAATATAAGCTCCATGAGGATGGAGACCTCGCCTGTCTTGTTCACTGCTCTATCCCCAATACCTACAACAGGGCATGGCGTTAGTCAATCAATGTTTGTCAATGAATGAATGAATGAATGAGTGACCTGTGCCCCAGGCCCCTCGGCCTGAGTGTCAATCCCCAGCACCTTCAGTTCCGTTCAGTTCATCTGCATAAAAAATTGCCACATCAGTTGAATCCACTTACATTTCTTAGACTCTGCTCTGTGCTTATTGGCACAAACTCCAGTTGCCCTTGGAAACCAATCTTCCTGCTATTTCAAGAGTCTTCAACGTGAGCCCGCTCCGCCGCCAGCTGGCACCTGACATTTTTCTCTGGTCCTGGTCCACAAGAGGTGCCTGCTGCTGAGGTTGCTGAGGGCCACGGGCCCCGTGAAGGCACCCAGGCCTTGCCACAGCTGCCATCCCCCTCGGATGTGCACCCATGTTGTGTGAGTCACCCTCCACTGTGCCACAACGCTGGGCACTGCGGGCTCAGTGACACAGACAGCCCCTCTCCCCTGCCCTGTGTTGACCTGCTCTGCATGACCAGGATGTATTTCCCCTCTTGTCCATCTCTCATCCTCAGGTATCAGCATTAATGACTGCTGTGGACTGAATGTTTGCCCCCACCTTCCCCTCCAATTCATAGGCTGAAATCCTACCCCCAAGGTGATGGTATTAGTGGGTGGGGCCTTTAGAAGGTGGTTAGGTCATGAAGGGAGCAACCTCATGAATGGGAGCAGTGCTCTTATTAAAGACCGGAGGCCCAATGTACGAAATTCACTCAAGAGTAGGCTTTCCTTCCCCCGGCTGCCAGCACTGGCTTCCTTCTGGCACTGGGGATCAGGCTTCTCTCACAGCCCCGGCTTCGTCCGGAAGGATGTTTGGAAGGAAGTCTGGTCTAATTAGCATATTGCCCTTTTATTATTCTAGATTAGTGCTCTTATAAAAGTGCCCTGGACAGAGAGCACTATAAAAGCTCTATAAAAGTTCTATCACAGCCGGGACTGTTTTGGCTCAATGGATAGAGCATCGGCTTGGGGACTGAAGGGTCCCGGGTTTGATTCCGGTCAAGGGCATGTGCCTTGGTTGCGGGCATATCCCCAGTGGGGGGTGTGCAAGAGGCAGCTGATCGATGACTCTCTCTCATCGATCTTTCTAGCTCTCTATCTCTTTCCCTTCTTCTCTGTACAAAATCAATAAAAATATATTAAAAAAAAAAAAAAAGCTCTATCACAGAGCTTGTGCCCTTCTGCCAAGGACACAACAAGAATCTGTAGCCTGAGGAGGACTTTCACCCTGAACTCGGACATCCAGCCTTCAGAGGTGAGCAATTAATTTCTGTTTCCAAGCCGCCCAGTCCGTGGTATTTGTTACAGCAGCCCGAATGAACTGAAACTGTCACCTGTGAAACTGCCCTGTGCTTGGCGCAGGAGACACCTGGCACGCTCACTGCACGGGGGCTCCTGCACCTTCACCTTGACCCTGATCTCCTCTTGCTCAGTCTCCTCGCTGTGCCTGCTCCCGAGCCCCACTGCTGGCTGGGTCTACCAGGGCCCTTGGAATCTCTGGCTCTGGGGTCTGGAATGCAGTGCACCTGGGTGCAAAACCTGGCTTCTCCAATCACTAGTGCTGTGTGACCTAGGGCAAGCAAGGGAACCTCTCTGAGCCCTTTCCGCCTCTTCTGTAAAACGAGGTTGACAATAGCATCTGCCCCAAAGGGTAGCTTGTGAGGCTCAAATGAAATGGACAGTGCACGTAAGGTACGGACTAAGGGGCCCGCATGGAGTTAGCATCCCATAAATGGCTGCTGTCCTTAACCGCGTTTCTCATCTCCAGGCACACGTTCCCTTTGAAGACAACCCCTTTCCCTCCGCTTCACACTCCCCGCCCCGAGGATGGTGCTGGACACACAGCAGGAGCTCCCATGTTTGTTGAGGTGAAGGATTTGACAGCAGAAAGTTCCTTCTTCTCGTTTAGACTTTATCTCTGTTAAGGAAAAACATTATATGTTGGTTTGGGCTTTTCTTTTACAGCATGACCTTTTCATATATTGTGGTAAAATCTACATATAAAATCTACCATGTTAACCATTTTTAATTGTACAGTCAGTGGCATTAATTACATACATATGGTCGTGCAAGCGTGTGGTATTTAAAAAAAAAAAAAAATCCTAACAGCTGCCTGCTACCAGGAATAGAAACTGAATCTACGCAGACTTTGTGGATGTGAGTTAAGAAATCCTGCACAGCGGGGTGGTCTCTTTCAGAGAGGGCCGGGCCTGGCCCCGCCACTCAGCCCTGAGCCCGGGCTCGGGAGGGGCTCCTGCTGAAACCGGTTTGGCTCAGTGGATAGAGTGTCGGCTTTCAGACTGAAGGGTCCCGGGTTCGGTTCCGGTCAAGGGCATGTACCTTGGTTGCCGGCACATCCCCAGTGGGGGGTGTCCAGGAGGCAGCTGATTGATGACTCTCTCTCTTCGATGTTTCTGACTTTCTGTCCCTCTCTCATCCTCAATGTAAAAACTCAATAAAATAAATACAATTAAAAAAAAAAAGAGAGAGAGAGAGAGAGAGAGAGAGAGAGGGGCTCCATACTGAGAAGAGAACCACCAGCAGAAGTGGCAAGGCAGCAGGAACACAGGACGGTCCTTCAGACACATGGCTTAGGGCCCAAAAGCTTTTCTGTTTCTTTGCTTTTTTAGTGTTTAACGAGTTGTTTTGAGTAAGTTGCGGTGTTACACACAAATCTGCAAGTGGAGTGAAAATCAGAAGACCAGTGATTTGGGATGCACTCTTGGTTGGCAGCGCCTGCCTTTGCTGGGTCACAGCTGCGCCTGTGGACGGCACGGGTCCTCTCCAGGCCACCGTATCCCTTCGGCTACTCCTCTGGTCCCTTCGGCATCCGAGGTTTTGACCCCTGGGTTAGCGTCAGATGAACTGTTGGTTCTGCCAGCCACCTCCCAACTCACTGAAGTCAGGCAGCCCGTTGAGCCTTCGTGGCCTCATCTCTAGGCGCGGGGAGATGGCGGTGTGTCCGTGGGGCCTGCGGAGAGCATTGCTGAGTAATACACATGAAGGTGTGTAAGAAAACGCAATGCTACTGTACAGATGTTAACCCCGGGTCACGGGCCTGCCGCTCCCAGCCCTCTGTGCGTGCGTCCAGGATGTATGGAGTCGCCTGCGGTCTGGCATCTCCAGGTTTCATACATCGAATATTGTCTGGAAAGACAGCAGCACCTGGAAAGGCACAGCTGACAGGTACCCCCAGCCCAGGCCCGCTCTCCAGCCTCTTCCATCCGAGAGCCCTCGACACACTGGACAGCAGCCGACGGGCCTGGGACTCCATGCTGCAGCCAGTGCAGTGTTCCGTTTGCCACCTGGTAGAACCAGCTCCCGGTGCCCGCTGCTTCCTCTCCCTACGAGCTGGGGTGTGGCTTCTGGGATAATGTCTCCGCCTCAGCGCCCAAAGGAAGGAAGGGCTCTTGAAGCCCTTTCAGCCTTCTTCCAAACTCCTTTCTCACAATTCACCTCAAAACTCAGGGCAACTGTGTTTCATTCGTAGCAGCTCGATACTAAAAAAAAAAAAACTAGTTCAAGACAGGCAATAAATAGAAAGGTACGTCCGGTGATAGGGTTTTGAAAATGAAACAGGTCTGCCTCGTAACTGGTTCCAGATTGCCTTACAGTCTTGCCTGGCAGGTAGAGATTGAGTCCCGATAGCGAACCAGATGTCACACTCGCCCTTCTAAGACATTTGCTTTTATCTGCAGCAGTTCCTGATGGGGTAGATACAGAGAAGAGACAGGAGCCTTGTGAAAGCAGGGAGCAGTGTGTTTGCATCCTGACACCGGAGAGGATCCCATCCCCCGGGCGCTTCCAATCTAGGTCTTCCCAGCTTTCAAACGCCAAGCAGAGCCGAACAGTGTAAAACCGGAGCAGAGCAGGGCCGGCGCACAGTCAGCAGTCAGTCGTGGGTGCCAGGAGACAAAGTGTGTCCACGATAGGAAATCCACCTGCAACGATTCTAGAAGAAAACAAGGCCTCCCACAGTGACTAGTTTTATTTTAGTTTTTAATAGAAAATAACCAATCACTTGACCCTGTTTCATTGTAGCCAAGGGCCCAGAAACTCCTCTGAGGCTTGTCTTAGCCAGAGCGGCGGCCTGAGTCTCTTCTGCACCTTCCTTCCCTCCTTCTCCCCACAGCACAGCACTGCCCAGACTTTCTGAGTCGGCAAACACATGCTCAGGCTCACCGGTAAGTCCTGCAACCTCACTGCCAACAGCATAAGGAAGCACGGCACAGTCCTCAGAATCCCAAAGGCTCTGACCCAAGGCCCTGCTCTCCAGACTTCTGTCCGCTCCCGGGAGTCCGCTCCCAACCCCTGGTCCCAGTGTCTCTTCGCTCATAATCAGAGAGCCCGCTTCTCCCCGTGGCTCCCATGTCCATCCTGCTCCAGGCAGCTCTGCCCAGGGAGGAGGGTCTCATCCTGGAGTGGGTGCAGGACTGGTAGCGTGGGCCACGGGCTGGCCAGGTGCTGGGAGGATTGGGGGTGGGGGGATCAGCCAGGCTATGCAACCTGGCTTTGATTGGCAGCTGTGGCGGGGGCAGGGGAGGTGCTGTGGAGAGTGACTCCGGGAGAAAGGCATGATTTAGGAGGAAAAGGGAGATTGCTTGGTGAACCGAGAGGCTGTAGTGGGAGGGGCGGTGCTAGTGTCCTATTACTGAGATAACAAATTACTGCAAACGTAGCAGCTTAAAACAACACAAATGTTTTGTTGTCTTACTGTTCCGTCGTCGTTAAGAAATCTGATAGGTCTCACTGGGCTGAGCTTAAGGAATCAGCAGGGCCTTTCTGGGGGGAATCTGTTCCTTGGCCTGTTGAGGCTGCCGGGGTGTTCTTGTCTGTAGCACCTTCCTCCATGCTCAAAGCCAGTGATCCTGCCCTTCTCAATCCCTCTGCCGCCGTCACCACTCTCTCACTGGCCACAAGGGAAGGTCTCTCCACTTCGTTTTGGTAATCCTCTTCTGAGGATTTTTTTCCCCACTGATTTTTTAGAGGGAGTGGAAGGGAGGGAGGAGGGGAAACACCCATGCAAGAGAGTCACATGATTGGTTGCCTCCCACTCCCCCTCCCTCCCCCTCTTCCCCAACAACTGGACCAGGGAACGAACCTGCAACTCAGATATATGCCCTTGGCGGGGAATGGAATCCGAGACTGGTCCACGGCCCCACACTCAAACCATTGAGCCACACCAGCCAGGGCAGAAAGGTTCTCCACTTTATAGGACATGCAATTAGACTGGGCCCAACGAGATAATTCAGGATAATTTTCCCATCTCATGGATCCTAACTTTAATCATATCTGCACAGTTCCTTGCAATGGGTTGAATTGTGTCCCTTCTGCCCCAAGTTCATATGTCAAAGTCCTAAACATAGACATCTTTGGGAGGGCCACTAGTCTCCTTACCACAGGTTTGACCAGTGAATCCCAGTCAACCGTTATTTGCTTGACTTTGTCTTGGGACTGTGCCCCACGGCTTGTATACCGTAAGTGAAGTAATGGCCGGGGCCACAGGCTTGCTGCTCACAAACACCCCGATAGCAAGAGGGCAGACTCAAAACAATCGGTCTTTGCTTGGGAAACAGGGTCTGGCTTTCAATGCTCCACATATTCGAGAATCTATTCCAGTGTTTCTCAACACATGGTCCTTGCCTGCCAGAGTTAGCTCAAGGGATGCTTATGAAAACTCCCAGTCTTACTGAGTCAGTCTTTCAGTAAGGACCTTTAGTAACCTTTATGCACGCATGGCCGGGGGCTGCTGATCTGGAGTGGCTGGGCTCTTCCCCTGCCTCACCTGCCCTTCTCCTCGTCCACTTCTCGGAGGCATTGTTCATGCCGCACCTACTTCTCATCAGCCAAAGAAATTGCTCCCCTATCTCTATTCCCTTGGCACTTTATGCAGACCCTCAGACTACAGCTTTGTTTTACAGATGTTTGCTGTGGATCTGCTGGGTTATGTTCTATTCCTCTTTGCCCCCTGAGTGACTATACAGTTTCTCCATTTCCACACTGGGAGATGTTTCCTGTTCCCTAAAGCACTACGGTCAAATTCACAGCTCAAGAAAAGGCCGCCATTGGCTGTGTATCCATGTCCTCCTTTCCCCCTTGGACGCTACCTATTTTAATTTATGTTCTCCTTGCTGCAGAATATTAAAAACCTATCTCTGGCCATTTTATTTTAGATGTTTCTGCTACAAGCTGCCTCAGATCCTTTCGGGAACAAGGCGAGAGAGATAAATTATTCATCTCAGTATTCCTACCACCCAGGACAGTGTCTGGCAGGTAGAAAATACTCAGTAATTGTTTCCTAAATGTAATCAAAGAAAGAAAGTTATGTGGGTTCTGTGAGAGCTATTTTACTCATCACTTAGAAGACTCGGCTATGTCTGATTTTGATCACAGTGTTCAAGAGCTAACACTGCTAGAAGAATGCATGATGGGTAAGTGCCCGTTCTTATACAAGATTCACTTGATTTCAGCAACCTGATCATCTTAATTCTCCTCCTCGCTCCATGGGCAAGCCATCTTAGAGACCCAGGCTACTCAGGAACTCTGTAATCCGTGACCGATCTTAGAAGATGGTGAACAGGTAGGTTTCTGCTGGGAATTGAGAAGGGGAACAAGGAGAGCAGGGAGAGCAGTGGTAAGTCTGACTGTGCCAGGAGGGAGCCCAGGAGGCGCACAGGTGCTGAGGAAGGGACGTGAAAGCGCAGGGGTGGATGCCAGACTCTGTCTCCTGCAGACACACCGCTGTGATGGCACCACGTGCTGTGGAGAGAGGTGTGTTCAAGCACACAGCTAAAGATGTCAACATCAAATCGCTGCAAAATAAAATGCAAAAACTTAAGAGAAACTCTATAGAAAGGGGAAAAATCACTTTTTATACTCATTTTTCTTCAATTTGCATCTCATACTTCTTCAAGAAAAACCATCTTTTCTATCTTTGTGTATTACATCTGAAGAAATAACAGCAGCACCCAAGTCTCTTTCAATTGGAGATTTTTTCCTAGGAAACACATGAGCAAGTGTAGTCTTGACTTTCAGTTGTCACCTCAACTTTCTAAACAAGTCCCTCACACTATTTTCAGAGCATCATTCAATTGGAATTTTTTTTCCTTTGCAGGAAAATAAAAGGATGCTAACCTACCAGTTCTTACACGTAACCAACTACACTGTCCTGGGTGGTAGGAGTACTGAGATGGATAATTTATCTCTCTCACCTTGTTTCAGAAAGGATCTGAGGCAGCTTGTAGCAGAAACATATAAAGCCACAAGCCTAATTTAAATTTGTTTCCAACATCTTTGCTTTAATCAAAAACATCAATACAGTGTGTTTTCCCCCATGAAAACCTGGAGAATATGAGATAATTCTTCGAATAATATATAAAAGGGTGTTGATGTTAAATTGATTAAGATGGAAAGTTTGTAGGGACGAGTTTGGTCATGTTGTTACCTTGCGATACATGATGTGACAAAAATCCTGTTCTGTTATAATAAATATGGCTCTTTTCCAAAAAATGAAATTAATAGAGGATCTGATTCCATAGTTTGGAATATCTGGAATGTTTATGTTGTCCTGGGTCAGTGAGCTCAGGACTGGCTGAGAGTTTGGTCTGGGCCTCAAAGGGTTAAGTGTCAATGGCAGGACAGTCACCCAGTCAGCTGAGGCCTGGAGGCCTGGTTAGCCAGTGATCTGAGGACCAACTGGCAGACTATTTGAGAAGGAGACCGGGGTCAGAGGTTATGTGCCAGCCCCTCTGTGAGGGAGGGCACCTGTTCAGTGGCAGCTGAGCTGAGAGGCGAGTCTCTGGCTTGTCATCTCCAGTCCTAGCCCAGGGACCCATATACTGACTTGTAGGCCATGCCTGCCCATATCTGAACCCATGATCACACAAATGTACAGGCAAGCAGTGCACTCAACAGGACCCAGTGCAGGGAGTGAGATCAGTCTGGTTGCTCTAAGCCTGAGTGGAGGTGGAGGCAGCCTGGAATCTCCCTGTGCTCCCTATGCTGTCTCAGCTTTCTCTGAACCCGTCTGCAATCCCCCAAGTCTCATAACTGCTCCTGTTCCCTCCATAACGCTCTGCTGTCCCTTCTGGGACCTCAACTCCTTTAATGGAAGTCCTGACACCTTGTCAGAGTTTGGCCAGCCCCACCCCAGAGCCTGCAACCTGACTTGTTGGAAAATAGACACACCATCTGCCGCCTTGCGTTCCTACTAGGGGCCTGCGTGGTTCATCCTCTTTCCAGCCCTAGTGCCTGATAACTTCCTTTCGAGGCTGCCTGAAGCCTCACAACTACTCCTGTTGTGATGTCAGAATCACAATAAACAATACAAGCTACCATGTGCTTAGCTTTTGCCATGTGCCAGGCAGTGTGCTCAGAACTTTATATACATTATCTTGGTTCATCCTTACAACAGCAGGATGAGGTACACACTGTATTAATTTTACAGCTAAATAAACTAAGGCTCAAAAAAGTTCAGTAGCTTGCTCAGATGAACAAAAGTCCTAAATGACAGAGCCCTGACTGAAATCCGGGACTGAAAAAGGCCAGGATCACAGTTTCTGCCTCTTTATCCCTTACAATGAATTAGAAACAACAAGACCATAGACACAGTCTGGAATCTGAATGTGGTTTCATTGAAATTGTAGATGTACCACTCCATGTACCTGCAGCCCAAACTCTTCCTCCAGCCACCAAAGAAGTGACAAGTTCTGCACAGGCTTTAATCATCTTCATGCACAAGCAGCCTGGCAGTGTCTGTCTTCAGTCTGCACCTCGTCCTCTCACTTTCTGGGTTATGGCTTCTGTGCTATTAAGCCATGGCACAGCATTCCCACATGGACAGCTCAAAACGCAGAAGAGTTAACCCCTGAGGCCACTCTTGACTAGTGGCAGATAAGCAGTGATAAATAAATGTTCCCTGCTTTCATCCCCCATGGATGTTCTGAAATACATATCATACGGATCCTCAGGAAATTCCTCAGGGTCCAGTCCTAAATGCCCATTGATTCAACAACACATCCTTACCCTGGTTTTCCTTTGTCTCTGTTGCTTTTCCATCACTCCTTCCCCATGGGACCACATTCCCAAGACAAACTTCCTCTGTCTCAAGCTCTGCTTTTAGGAAAACCCAGAGAGGTGGACAGAGAAGTGTTCATTTCTCAAGAAAGCCAGTCCATTCCTTCACATATTACTCTCTGTTACTGACCACAGTGATTTTTCTCTCAATTGCTGTTCACTTGTTTTTATCCCCGGGGGCATGATGGGATCCTGAATCTCCTTCCTCTTCAGAAGTCACTACTGACTGAATTGTCCTGAAGAGGTTAGAAGGAAGATCTGACCATGGCAGAGCACAGTCAACACCCCTGAAACAAAGCTGTAGTAAGTGGGGGTTCCCATAAGGCAGATGAAGAATGTGAATCTAGACAGAAGATACAAGCCTTTCCTGCTACAATGATAAAATCATTATCCTGGGAAGAAGATTCTCTCAGAACAAGCATACGAAGATCAGACAATTGTAGGCATCTGGGTTGGGGGTGCAAGTCTACCTATCTCTATCTACCCACCAGGCTTCTCCCTGCAGCGGTCAAGGTTCCAGACTCCTTGCTTCCTTAGCCCATTGTCCCTTCTCATCAGTGTTGAGTCTTCTCCCCACGTACATTCTCAGTGTCATCACTGTCAACCTGAAGATGTGCCAAGGGAAATCAGAAAGATGAAATAAGTAAAGAGAGTCCCCCTTGCAGCCACACACAGCCTCTCATCCTAGCAGCAGAGGCATGCAGGGGACATCCCCAAGTGCCCTACTTCAATTCCTTCCATCTTCTTTATTTATTTATTTATTTATTTATTTATTTATTTTTTGCTGTGTAGACATACCATATTTTTCGGACCATAAGACGCACCGGACCATAAGACGCACCAGTTTTTAGAGAAGGGAAATGAAGAAAAAAAGATTCTGAAACAAATAGTGTCCTAAAATATTTTATGTGCATTAAAACCCAACATCACAGTCATAAACACATGTAATCAACCCTGTAAAGTAAACAGCAGCATTTAGAACCATTTTAGAGCCGGGCAAGCACACAGAGACCACACAGAGCCGGGCAAGTAAAAAAACTTTTTTTTTACAGTATATGTGTAGGCTATATTTGGACCATAAGATGCAGGGATTTTTTCCCCCCACTTCTGGGGGGGAAAAAGTGCGTCTTATGGTCCGAAAAATACGGTAGTTTTAAGACAAATCCACTATTTGATGCTTCAAAAAATTTAAAGATATGCTGCCCAAAATGTCCCCTTTAAGATAAGCATTCTAAGCACTACTAGGTCCTTCCATCTTCTTGAGCCTGCCTCTTTTCCAGCCCTGAAATAAAATGTATTCATTTCCCCAGATGTTTATTTAGAGCTGATTTTATATGGAGAATTTCTGCTAAGATACGCTTTAGCCTTTCAATTATTTTCATTCTGGTGACCCTTATTCGCTTTGAGATGCAATGATTTATTCTCATATTCTGAGAAACCTAAACTTTAATAAAAGCATGGTGCCTATAATAAATCACACAGAGAAATGGCACTTTGTTTTACTAAACCTAGTAACAACGTAATACAAGGGTGAGGAACCATTTTTCTGCCCAAGGGCCTTTTAGATATTTATAACATCATTCGCAGGCCATACAAAATTATCAACTTAAAAATCAGCCTGATATATTTGGTCAAACATTTAATTAACTCACCCCTAATGCGTTGGCAGGGTCAGACCAAATTATTTAATGGGCCTTATATGGCTCACAGGCCAGACACTTCCCACCCCTCATAACAATTGCCTATAAATAACCTATACCGCTATAGCAATATTCTCAATAGCCGTTATCCTGTAGACTGTGTCCCAGGGCTGTAGACCTCTAGGGCATATGGAGCTATTTGATGCTCTCTCTATTTTGTATGTCAAGCATAATTTGTGGTCTAAATACCTATTGCACACATAAGTATGACTTTTTCAATGTGTTTGTACATGCTGCTGCGATAAAATGCAAACCCATAGATGTACTTTATCTCAACAAATATAGCGGTGAGGCTAGATAATTTTTTAAAAATATTTTTAATTTTAAATTGAAATCCCAGTATCCCAAAATATCAGGGTAACCAATGTCATGGAAAGATGTCTTAAGATAGAAGTCAGTAAAGACTCAGGTCCATCTTCTAGCTCAATCATTGGTCGAAATTTAAAAAATGTGTCGTCTCCCAAAGATTTTGATTCAAAAGTCATAGGTAGTATCCAGGATTTCTATATTTAAAATATCTTTAGCTAATTCTGGTATAAAACTACCTTTGAAATGATCTACATACTAATAAGTGTGTGGGTTAAATTCTTTTGAAGTTGTATACTGCTATGAAAATAGAAAATGTTATTACTAATAAGTAATAAGGAAATTACTAATAAGTGATAAGTAAAAAATCTCATGAAACTGCTCTTGCCGGTTTGGTTCAGTAGATAGAGCATCAGCCTGTGGACTGAAGGGTTCCAGGTTTGATAACGGTTGCGAGCTCAATCCCTAGTGGGGGGCATGCAGGAGGCAGCTGGTCAATAATTCTCTCTAATCATTGATGTTTCTATCTCTCCCCCTCCCTTCCTCTCTGAAATCAATATAAATAGATTAAATAAATAAATAAATATCTCATGAAACTAATATTTAAGGGTTTGTTTTCCAGCAAAAGACCCTGTAGGATTCTGATCAGTAGGATGCATCTGAGATAAGTATTTCAGCACACCAGTTCCATGTTCTTTGTCCATGGGTGTAGAAAGCAGGGTGGAAATGGCTATGTTTGAATCAAGCAAAAGAAACAGGAAGAGAACTATACCAAAGCATATCATAATCAAATGTCTATAAACCAGTGATAAAGAGACCATATTAAAAGTAGCCAAAGATGTGCATTAAAACAAACTAGATATAAATGAACAAAACTATGAATTATTGCAGACTTCTCATCAGAAGCAAGGCATGACAGAAGACAATGGAGCAACAAATTTAATGTACTAAAGCAAAAAATTATCAACCTAGTACTTTATTTTAAGAAAAATGATTTTAAATACAATAATGTTGCATGCAATAAATATTAATGTTTTAATAATACATGCAATAACCTAGTACTTTATACCCAGAAAGCCTACAGCCTTGCACATGAAGTGAGCGTGGCGGTATTTCAGCTGGCTGGAGGGGTTGGAGAAAGTCCCCAACCAGGTTTCTGAAGACAATTTTTACATTCTTAAGAGACTGGAGTTTTAAAAGGTTTTTACAGAACGGTAATGCCATTATTGTGACAAGTTCAAACACATCTATAATCATAATGTTTACTGCACCTTAATGGATTGTTTCTAGGTCTGATTGTTTTTCTTAAACACTACCAGAATAATTCTTTAGAAACAGCTAAGCCTTACACTTGTTAAATTTGTTTTTTTAATGAAACTTACCTCTAGTTTCAGTCTCACTAATGTAAAATTTCGGGGCTTATATATATGATTCAATTAACTTTATACTGTGTGCTGGGAAGAAATCATGAGGTTTGCTGGAAAATTAAATTTTATTTATTAGCAAAAAAAAATTAAAATAAATAAATAAATAAAATGAAGGGGGGGGACCTTTTTTCAGATAAATGAAGCTACTAGAACTAATTAAGTGAGTTTAGCAAGGGTGTAGGATACAAGACACATAAATCAATTTTCTCTATATTAGCAATAAATTATCAAAAATTGAAATCAACAAAACATTATTTAGAATGCCATCAAAAGGATGAAATACTTACAAATAAATGTAGCCTACTACATGCAAGATGAAGTCAATAAAAACTATAGATTATTGTTGAGTTAAATTAAAAAACACATAAATAAATGGAGAAATATACTATATTAATGGATTAATAGGTATTATACATCCTTCCCAAATTTTAATCTATAAATTTAATGTAAATCTCATTCAAAGTATCATTATTTTCTTTTGTAGAAAGTGGCAAACTGATTCTTAAACTCATATACAATTACAAAGGGCTTAGAATAGCTAAAACAATTTTGTAAAAGAAGAACAAAGTTGGAAGACTTACTTAACCTAATTTTCAGCTACTATTATCAAGAGAGTGTGGTATTGGCATAATCTATACATACAGATCAATACAATAGAACAGAGAGTCTAGAAATAGACCCACAAATATAGGGTCAATTGCTTTTTGATGTAGATATCAATCTAATTCAATGAGGAAATAATAATATTTTCAATGAATGGTACTGAAACAACTAAATAACCATACCATATGCAAAATAAATAAATAAATAAATAAATAAATAAATAAATGATTTTGACAATTGCATCATAAAATAGAAAAAAAAACACAAAACTTTGAAATGGATAATAGACCTACATGTAAGAAGTAAAACTATAAATATTCTAGGAAAAAACATAAGCCCAGCCAGCATGGCTCAGTGGTTGAGCATTGACCTAGGAACCAGAGGGTCATTGTTTTATTTCCAGTAAGGGCATATGCCCAGGTTGTGGGCTCAATCCTTTGTGTGAGGCATGCATGAGGCAGCCAATCAATGATCCTCTCTCATCATTGATGTTTCTATATCTCTCTCTCTCTCCTTCTCTGAAATCAATTATATATATGTATACATATGAAAAAAATAAGATGAAATCTTAATTTGCATTTGGAAGATATGATTCCAAAAGCACAGAATATAATAGGAAAAATGTCAATAATTTGGAATTCAACAAAATTAAAAATGTTTGCTCTTCAGAAGATAAGGAAATGGAAAGGTAAGTCATAGGCTGAGAGAAGTATTTGAAAAATGTATGTCCAACTAAGAAATATCTATTTTACATAACGAACTTTCACAGTAGTATCTAAGTTTATTTGAACCGCCATAACAAAATACCATAAACTAGGTGGCTTAAACAACAGGAATTTATTTTCTCACATTTAGAGGCTGGAAGCCAAAGACCCAGTGCAAGCACAGTTGGGTTTTGGTGAGGGAGCTTTTCTTGCCTTGCAAATGGCAGTCTCACTGTTTTCAGATGACAGAGAGAGATGCTAAGCTTTCTGGTATATCTCTTTATAAGGGCACTAATTCCATCATGAGGGCCCCACTTCAATGACATAATCTAAACCTAATTACCTTCCAAAGGCCCATGTCCAAAAACCCATTGGGGGTTAAGGTTTCAACATAAGAATTTGGGGGTGGGGAGACACCATTGATTCCATATCAAACAGGAAGACAACCCAATTAAAAATGGGGAAAAGATTTGGACAGTTGCTCCAGAAAAAAATATTCAGAGATGGCAAATGAGGACCTGAGATGTTCTGCATCATATTAAGACTAACACAAGACACAACTACATACTCACTACAATGGCTATAAAATAAAATAAAATAAAATAAAGACAATACCAAGTATTTGGAAGATGTGGAGAAACTGGATCCCTCATACATTATTGGTAGAAATGTAAAATGACACAGCCGATTTGGAAAACACTTTGACAGTTTCTTAAAATGTTAAGCATCAACTTACTATATGGGCCAGCAGGTTCACTCCTAGATATTTACCAAAGAGAAATGAAAGCATGTGCCCACCCAAAGGCTTGTGCCTGAATGTCCCGAGCAGCATTATTCATATTAGCAAAAAAAATAGAAACAACCAAATGTTCATAAAATATCTGAATGGATAAACAAATTGTGGCATATTCATATATTTAAATACGACTTAGCGGTAATGGGGAGCCAGCTACTGATAAAGGCAAAAATATGAGTGAAATGTCAAAAGCATTATGTTAAGTGAGAGAAATCAGACATAACAGACAAGCTATGTATAATCCTAATTATATGAAATTGTCAAAAAGGGACATTCGGATAGAAAGCTGTTGCCAGGGAGGTGTTGACAGGCTTTTCTGGGATGGTGACACCCTTCCATACCATGATTGTGGTAATTACATGACTATATACATTTGTGAGACATTATCAAATTACACAGTTAAATTAGTACGTTTTATTATATGTAAATTATACATCAATACATTTAATAAAGGAGAAGAACGGGGAGGAGCAGGAACACCATCACTGGCACTATCACCACCAGGGAAGAGAGTTACCCTTGAGTTCAAGACTTTCTATAAATGAATAGAAATCAAGACTGTGTAGTATTACTGAAAAGACAGACCTAGAGATCAACGAAACAGATTGTCTGGCTACCAGAAACTCACTCCCACAGGGCCTATGGAAGGTGGTGATACATGTTATGGACTACTAAGCACTGTGTCCATTTATTTTCTCTTTTTTAAATGGGGATTAGAAGACCTAACCCTTCAACAAACACAAAGGTCAACTCAATCTTCTTCACTAGAGGGATGGACAGATGATAGTCACTATCTAGTTTACTATCGAATAGCCCTGCATATCCACAGCTGTTAGGCCAGTGGTCGGCAAACTCATTAGTCAACAGAGACAAAAATCAACGGTACGACGATTGAAATTTCTTTTGAGATCCGAAAAACCGACTTCTGCACATAGGCCACGAAGTTTCAATCGTTCTGTCCATGCGCGCCCACACGTGGTATTTTGTGGAAGAGCCGCACTCAAGGGACCAAAGAACTACATGTGGCTTGCGAGCCGCTGTTTACTGACCACTGTGTTAGGATATAGGTATACAATGTCTAGGATGGAAGTCAATTCACAGGAATGCAGAGCTAAGAAATTGAGGGAGGAATGAATTCTCTTCTGTCATTTTCATCATATTGGGCTCCTAGATCTAGCTATACCTGAAACT